TCACTGGATGTTTCTAGCCAGTGGGATCAATTATTAATGTCCCTTTCTCATTATTGCAAAGTCAAGGTGAAGTGTCAGTTGCTCTGTTTTTGCATCTTCATTCAATTTGTTGGGTTTCACAAGGAAGCAGCAGACAGGCTGAGAACTTGTGGTTTGTAAATGTGTTCTCAGTGTTTTCTGTTTGTTCCTTGCCTCTGAGTTTGTGTAAGGAAAATAAAAAAAGCCTTTGAATCAGAATGAAATTTTCCAGAAAGCCGGTACACATGACTGATTAAACCTCAGGTTTTGCTTCGGTTCCAATGAATGGTAATATTTGAGTAATATGCAGAGGACTTGCTGCCACTCTGCTCACTAGGGTCTGAGATAGCTGATAGCCCAATGTGTGATCTACAGACTCTCCCAGCTGGGTTGGGAAAGATGAGCGTTTGAAGGTTTATCTCTCTGTCTGACACCTCAGCATCACACTCCTGCCGACGGTGCCTTCCTGTATGAAAGTGCCTTCTCCATTTTGCTCAGTCTCAAGCCCATGTCTCCCATGACCCAATGGGGGAATCTTTGACCTCTTTGAGGAGGTTTTGAGAATATCCCTAAAGCATTTTCACCAACCTCCTGGGAGTCTCCTCCCCTGACACAATTCCATGTTGAGCAGGTTGCTCTGGTGGTTATGTGTCCTGCCCCATTGGAACTGGTTTTGAGTGATGGCTGCCTTGACACAGGGCAGCTTGGCTGGAGGGAGGAGACTGCTGTTGGGTTCCTGTGCCCCTGGATTTGGAAGATTTGTGCGAATGCTCCACTGTTGTATTTCTGCAGTGCTCTCAGCTTCTCCTGGACATTGTCCAAGTCTCCCAAGCCAATAAAACACCAGCATCAGCACAGCACAGTAAGCCAGGGCTTAGTGTGGGTTTGAAACACTGCTCTTCAATCATTCTGCTGCTCACCCACCAAAGGCAGACCTGCCACATTGACCATGATGGGAGTTTCATTGTCTGTGTCTATGTCTCTGCTTTTATTTTCTGAGGGCTGTGACTCTTCGGAATTTCCTTCCTCAAAAGGCAGTAGATGCAGAATCTTTAAATGTATTGAAGGCAGAGGGAGATAGATTCTTGATTCCCAAGGGGATGAAGGATTATCGGGATATGCAGGAATGTAGAGTTGAAGTTTGGGGGAAGTGTATCGAAATGAATAGAAAACTGGTTGGCAGAGAGGAAACAAATAGTAGGAATTAATGAGTCCTTTTCAAATTGGCAGGCATTAACTAGTGGGATACCACAGGGATTGGTGCTGGGACCCCAGCTATTCACAATATATATTAATGATTTGGATGAAGGAGAAAAATGTAACATCTCAAAGTTTGCAGATGATACCAAGTTGGGTGGGAGGGTGAACTGCGACAAGGATGCAGAGATCCTTCAGTATGATCTCGACAGGTTGGGTGATTCGGTAAATCAATGGCAGATGCAGCATTATTTGGATAAATGTTCGGTTATTCACTTTGGAAGCAAAAACAAGAAGGCAGATTATTACCCGAATGGCTGTAAATTGGGAGAGGGGAATGTGCAGCGGGACCTGGATGTCCTTGTGCACCAGTCACTGAAGGTAAGCATGCAGGTGCAGCAGGTGGTAAAGAAGGTAAACGGTATGTTGGCCTTCATTGCGAGAGGTTTCGTGTACAGGAGCAGGGATGTGTTGTTACAGTTATACAGGGCCTTGGTGAGACCACACCTGGAATATTGTGTGCAGTTTTGGTCTCCTTTTCTGAGGAAGGATGCTCTTGCTCTCAAGGGAGTGCAGCGAAGGTTTACCAGGCTGATTCCGTGGATGTTGGGACTGATGTATGAGGAGAGAATAACTGGGTTGGGATTGTTTCCATTAGAGTTCAGAGGAATGAGGGGGGATTGCATAGAGACTTGTAAAATTCTAACAGGACTGGACAGGGTAAATGCAGGGAGGATGTTCCCAATGGTGGGTGTGTCCAGAACCAGGGGTCACAGTCTGAGGATTCGGGGTAGTCCATTTAGGACGGAGATAAGGAGACATTTCTTCACCCAAAGAGTGGTGAGCCTGTGGAATTCATTATCACAGGAAGCAGTTGATGCCAAGACATTGAATGTATTCAAGAGGCAGCTAGATATAGCACTTGGGGCGAATGGGATCAAAGGTTATGGGGAGAAAGCAGGATTAGGCTATTGAGTTGGACGATCAGCCATGATTGTGATGAATGGCGGAACAGGCTTGAAGGGCCGAATGGCCTCCTCCTGCTCCTATCTTCTATGTTTCTGTGTTAATATCAGATCAGCCGTGATCTTATTGATTGTTGTAGCAGCATCGATGGACCAACTGGAAAGCTGTAGCTTCAACTGATTCATACAGTCATGCAGTGCGGAAACAGACCCTTCGCTCCAACTCATCTATGCTGACCAGGCATCCTCAACTGATCTAGTTCCACTTGCCAGCACTTGGCCCATATCCCCCTAAACCCTTCCCGTTCATGTACACATCCAGATGCCTTTTAAATGTTGTAATTGTACCAGCCTCCACCACTACCTCTGGTGGCTCATTCCATACATGCACCACCCTCTGTGTGAAAACATTACCCCTTAGGTGCCTTTTAAATCTTTCTCCTCTAACCTTAAACCTATGCTCTCTAGTTTTGGGTTCCACCTGGGAAAAAGACCTTGGCTATTTACTCTATCCATGTCCCTCATGATTTTATAGAAATCTGTAAGGTTACCCCTCAGCCTCTGCTGCTCCAGGGAAAATAGCCCCAGCCTATTCAGCCTCAAGCTGTAACTCAGACCCTCCACCACCCCATTCCATAGAAAGAATTTCATCTGACTCCCCGGGATGAGATTTATGTCACTCCCTGGGTTGAGTTTAATCTCACTGCTTGTGTTAGACTCGCTGTTGTCAGTCAGACACATTTTCCCCAATGACAGCATCACGAAAGACGAGCAGACGCTTGTTTCTCACTGCGTTGAGGGGAGGCCATTGAGCCTATTTAACCTGCTGTGCCATTCAGTCAGATCCCAGCTTGTCTGTACCTCAGTCCCAATGACCCACCTCTGTTCCATCTCCCTCAATGCCTTAGCCCACAACATTCTATCCATCTCCATCGTGAAATATCCGAATTGACCCTCTGCAACGACAGTCTCTGGAGGAAGGAGAGAAGAGAAGAGACAGAGAGGGAGAGAGTTCCAGATTTCTGGGCATGAAGTTTCTTTCTGATTTCCCCCATGAATGGCCTGGCTGTAATTTCAAGGTTGTGTCCTTGTGTTCAGAACTTTCCCTATGAGTCTGTTGTTGAGAACGCAGTCATATTGGCCTTGCAACATTGACTGGGTTTCTGTCTGCACAGATGCTGCCAGAGGTAGTACGCAATGTTCCTTCTCATTGTCTTACTGTGTGCAGCAGAACTTTCTGGAATCAGAGCTCAGTGATGTAATCAGCGTTCCGATGTTGATCACCATGGGTGAAATGCCAGAGTGGCTGCACACAGAGTTGAGAGGGAATGTTGCTGCTGACTTTCTCCAACATTCTCTGTGTTTGTTGCTGCAGGATTGTGCTCCCATCTCTACTTTCATAATCCATCCCCCATACAATAAACAAGGACACTCCACTGGCCTTCCCAATCACTTGCTGCACCTGCTGACTAACTTTGTGTGGTTTATGTAGTAGGACACCCAGATCCCTCTGCACCTCACAATTATCCGATCCCTCTTCTTTTCAATAACACACTGCTTTCGCATTCTGGCCATCGAAGAGAGCCAGTTCACACTTTCCCAGGTTATAGTCCAACGGTTCTCTTTGTCCACGAATGACTGGGATGACTAGGGATGTCGAGGGGAAGGAACTTATTCAGGAAGGTGAGTGAAAATGAGAGGAATGTGAAAGGGCGATAGTCAGGAGAAGGAATGGGGTAGGGAAGCAATGGCCGGCTGGATTTGACTGAGGGGAGTCTGGTGAGGGGTGGGGACACAACAGTAGGTGGGACACAACACTACCCTGCCCTCATTTTGGAAAGCAATTGTCTGACCCTTACAGGACCTGACAGCATCCCCCACCTCCCCACGCCTCCCGCCACCAAAACCTCAACACCATCTACCAAATCCAGCCTCTCCTCCCCATCCCGACATTCCCACCCGAAACACTCCGTCACCTACCTTGCCCCTTACTGACCTATAACCTGGCAACCTAGGCTCCCACCTTAACCTTGAAAGGAGCTGTGAAAGGGGCTGTCTATATTTCTGGACATTTAAATCACAGAAAGGGGCAACTTGTTGCTGTGAGAAAGGAAGGTGTGGGGTTTGCAGATGGTTGGCCTTCTATCCCACACTACGAAGGACCCATCAAATTTAAAGAATGTTCTGCATTTCTAAAGGAGCCCTGATTGGAAACTCCTGTCACAAATGCAGAGCATTAACTCGAGAATAGGGTGACCAACCCGAGTGTGATTGGCATTCCTTGGAAAAGTTGGCCTTTCCAGTCTCCTATTCTACCTCATTAGTAAACATCGACATTACCCCCTGGTAACAGCAATGCTGTGAATAAACTGACTGGAATTTGCTCTGTGAGACCTGCCCAGGTGGTGATTCTGGGTGTAGATGGCATAGTGGTTCAGTAGTTAGCACTGCTGCCTCACAGTGCCAGGGACCCAGGTTCAATTCCACCCTTGAGTGATTATCTGTGTGGAGTTTGCACATTCTCCCCGTGTCTGCGTGAGTTTCCTCCAGGTGCTCCGGTTTCCTCCCACAGTCCAAAGGTGTGCAGGTTAGGTAGCGGCCATGTTAAACTGTCCATATAGTGTCCAGGGATGTGCAAGCTGGGTCGGTTAGCCATGGGAAATGCAGGGTTACAGGGATAGGGTGGGTCTGGGTGGGATGCTCTTCAGAGGGTCAGTGTGGACTCGATTTGCCAAATGGTCTGTTTCTACACTGATTCTATGATGAGGTTTGACTGTCCTGTCAACACCATTTGCTGACGTTCTTGTGTTTCTCGTGCAGTTGTTGGCTGTCGATTGAAAGGGGAGCAATCTGGGCGTTTGTGGCCCCAGCACTGTTTGTGGTTGTGGTAAGTGACACTTCTGAACTTTACACACGTTTAATGGTGTTCACTGGATATCAATGTCAGAGCAATACCGATGGGAATGGCGTTTACAGAGAACCTCGGGGAATGGGCAAACTTTCATAGAATCTCACTGAAGATCTCACTGCATGTGTTCCTAGCTGATACTGTAGAATGGACGCAATGTTTAGAGCATGCCTTTGAACTCTCTCCAGCTCGATAAAGAATCCTTTTGAAATTGTTTCACTCCTGATTTCTTTGTGGAAACACTCTGATGTCAAATAATCCAGCAATTAAAATAATTGCTGAAAGAAGCCGAGAAGAGATGAGGACAAGTCTTTTTTTAAATGTTAAGAGTTGAGTTCTGGAATCCACCGCCTGAAACAGCAATAACATCAGACTCTAGCAACTTGGATAAAACATCAAAAGGCAGCATTTACCAGGCTGCAGGTTAAGAATGGAGGGAATGGGACTGATTAGAAAGCATTTCCGAACAGCCAGAACGGGCACTGTGGGCCGAATGGCCTCCCCTTGTGCTGGACCATTACCTGACGACTGAAACTGCAGACTGCTGGCCCAGGAATTACAGTGCCCATTGAAGTTTGCAGTATGTCTTTGTAGTCTTTCCAACTCCATAAACAATCTCCTTACTGCAATTAATTAATTCCTGATTACTTTTTGCAAAATCAGCAATCTAATTCCTTTAGCCTGAAGGGTTGGCCCTTTTTGGATGTGCTGAATTCAGGGCCCTGTTAGAGATTGAGTTGTTTTGACTCCATTTCCTTTCTCTAAAACCTTTTCTAGTCTTTGTGTGTCTAGATCCAGTATCTTTCTTCAATACTGCAGTTGGTTTGGAATCAACCATTTGTGTCAAAAGCAGTTTGCAGTTATAAAACGGATTGTTCTGTAAGTGTCCTTAATATGGCACTTCAATCTGAAGGAATCTCGTTAGAAAATGTGAGTCTTTGCTGAATTGTGCTGTCAGGGTTGAGTTATTCACTCTGGTGTTGGGGAGCTTGACTGGTTTCAGGACCCAGAAAATCATAGGACGTCGGAACAGAAAACACAGGCCATTCAGCCCGTCGAATCTTCTCTGCCACCCAATGAGATCATGGCTGATCTGATAATCCTCAGCTGCACTTTCCTGCCTTATCCAAAGGGATAATCAGCTGATACTAAAGCCAGTAACCTGATTGGGAACAATCCATTGTTGCATCCAATTACTATTCCACAGGATCAGCACTCCGGCTAAAATGGGGTAAGCTCCTGGGAGAGACATGGAAGCAAATGGAAAACCCCACGTCAGCTTGGTGCAGGAACAAAACTGGGAAATTCCTCTTCCACTCCCTGAGGTGATCCAATCTGATCCAAGAAATAACTTTGGCCCCGATCTTTCCTTTTGTACAAAGTGATCACCTTCTGAGTCAGAAATAGGTCCTGCTCTCACTTGAAGGAATTTTTGTGAATTCTTCATGACAGCTGGTTCCACAGGTTCATTATTCCCAAGGGAAAACTTCACTTCCTAATGTCAGTCTCTGATTTGACCACTTACAACTTCAAATATGTTACATCCCTTGAATCACACTGAGATATGAGACCACCAGCCCCTGCAAGTTCCCCTCCCAGCCACTCGCCTTCCTGACTTGGAAATATATCGCCGTTCCTTCACCAGTCACTGGGTCAAAATCCTGGAATTCCCTCCCTAAGGACATTGTGGGTCAACCTACAGCACACGGACTGCAGCGATTCAAGAAGGCAGCTCACCCCCACCTTCTCAAGGGGCAACTAGGGACGGGCAATAAATGCTGGGCCCGGCCAGCGACGTCCACATCCCTGAAGGAATAAAAAATGAAAACTATTTAATTGGAACACATTGCCTCCTAGAATGCAGTCTAATCCCTTCATTATCTCGAAACCGCAATCAAGCCATCGGAAAGTCAACACTTTACTAAACATTTTTAGCCTATTTTAATAATTGAGATGCTTCAAACTATGAATTAATTTTGTGGTCCCTCCTTTCTGCTGCTGTTTCAATGTGTCCACATCACTTAGCAGCATCTCCATAAATAGCTACTTATGCAACAGTGACAGAGAAAACGTTGAGAAATCTAAGGAGCTCCGAGCAAAGTCCTGGCAATTTGTGTCTGTCCACGTTACATCATACTGAGATTGTGAATGGTGATATATAAATGCAGCTCTTCCTTCTGTCTTTCTCTACATTACGGCACTTCATCTCCAGATCCATCCTGGTCTCTGCTTTGAAGCGAATTTTGAGAGTTACTGCAGGTACAAGCACATTCTGAAATCCAGCAATTTAGGAAGGTTTAGAAGCAGAGAATGTGTTTCCGTTCCAAATGTTGTGCTGCTAGATTTTAAAGAATAAAGCATTGAGGAGTTTGAGGACAAGGCAAAAGCTGAAGGTTAAAGAGCATCGAGAATCTGAGGTTGAAGGATTCCATAGCGTTTTTTTGTGAATGTGCCAAGCATTACTCCGAAAGGTTGGGTTCACAGCTCAGAATGCACACACAAAGTCATCAAAACCAGAACAGGAGGAGTAATGAGCAGGATCAGGAGAATTGGAGAAATGGAGAAATGGAGGATAATGGGAGGAGGAGTGGGGTTGATGGAGGAGTGGGGTTGATGGAGGAGTGGGGTTGATGGAGGGGTGGGGGCGATG